TTGGTGTGCTGATTGATGTGAACGCATTCGTTTTTTGTATGTCGAGCGATCGATGTTGAACGACATTGTCTCGATTCGTTTCGCTCTCCATATCGTGTCGCGATAAAACACTTGAGAAAGCCGCCAATTTTTGTGCAGTTCAACAAATTTTCGATTCATTCTCACAAATTTTGAACTTTGAATCAGTTTGTTTTTTTTTCGCAATAAAATTGCATTGTTCAGATATCCCACTGATATTGTCTCGTTTTAAGGAGGCGCAGAATCATCAGAGAATGGTCGTGATAAAGAGGCGAACAATGAGATTAAACATGAATCGAGCGAATCACCGAAGCCGATGCAAGTTGATAGTGGTGAACCTGAGGAAGACATTAAAAAATGTTAGTCGGAAATTGTTTTAGAATTCAATGCTTGTTGCGTAATGTATTGTAAGTGAATAACTGAAATTCACGCGGAATTTTTCAGCACCTGAAGAGAAGAAAAAAGAGCCAGAGGCGGATGAGGACGATGACGAGAAAATTGAGGGTGGGTATGGACTCGGCGGTTTACCGACTGGCTCGGAGAAACTGACACCGAAAGAGCGTCATTTGTTAAGGTCACTTTATCGAATTTAATGAGCACAATAGTTTCAGAAATGTTTTCTCATAATTAGATGATATATTGATTAGAGTGCATCGTCTCTGAAGTGGGAATGGCGTGATGGTGTATATTTGTCTGTGCAGAGGATGTTGTCATGACATTTTTTGTTAATTTGGCATGTGCTGGTAATGAACATGCGAATATGTGATCCGGATTAATGTTTTGTGTGCGGTTATGACAGTGAATATTAAGTTGATAGATGCATTGAAGTTCTGATGGAACTATCCTTGTTAATCTAATCATCCTAAGTTTAGGCTGAATCTATTTGATAAAGGAACATCATTTTCGTGCACGTTTCAGCAATGTAGAGTCAGAGATAAAAAATTCTGTAAGATCATGTGAATATTATCTATTGGCTATTCACTTGTTTGCATTTTATGAGCGTGGTGTATTCGGTATGATTGATGATGAAGGCATTTTTTTGCTTTTAGACAGCACGAATTATTCTTATCGCGTCAAGTCGAGGCACTTCCGGCCACTCATATTCGTGGCAAATGTACAGTGACATTGTTGAGTGAGGTGGAGACACCGGACAGTTACTTGGGCAAAGACGTTCGTTACTCTCAACTTGATTTTGGTTTCATCTAATTGTTTAGAGTTGATCTTTTCATATTCTTTTCTTTAAATGTTCGTATAAATTTTGCTATGAAATGAAATGATCAGTTATTTTACAGGATGTATTCTTCTATTCGTTAGTGTACGACCCGGCCGCAATGACCCTATTGGCTGATAAAGGCGAGATTCGAGTCGGTGATAAGTATCAGTGTGAGGTTCCAGATGGAATGGAAGCAGACGCTTTGAAAGAAGAGAACAAAGAAAATGGGTTAGTTTTTTGGTTATTCATGGTTTGGATCATATTTGTATTCGGTTTTGCGTGGATGATTGGATGGGAAAGTAACGTAANGAATGTTTTGGGCATATGAATGCTTTTAATTATTGTTGATGTGTGATGTAATTGCAATTTGAAAAGTGTGAAAATTGTTCTGTGTTCTTTCCGCATTCAGCATATTTTAAATATTTGGGGATGCTGTTTGAAAGTTTTTTAACTCAATCGTAAACGTTTCCTTCGTGACGAATATTCTTTGAATTTTAAATTTTATCTTTGAGAATTAGCAGCACTCATTCGTTTGACTTCTTGAAAGTGGGCACCATGAGCAATTAAGTTATCGTATCAGTGAGTTTATAGCACCTGTTTGTTCGGTGGATCTTGAGTGAACAAAATTTTTATGTGCTTGCTTTTGCAGAAATCTGGTAATTGTTGAAGAGGAGCTTGACGGTGCCGAACAGCAACCAGTAATATCGACAACGGAACGTGAAGTGCTCGTCTATCATCCACACCACAGTCTCACTGATCGAGATATCGATCAGTTCTTGATTATTGCCCGGTATGGTTTCGATTCAATTGTTCACAGTTTGATTTGTTTGCTATTCACGTTCTCGCATTTCTTACATTTAATTTTTTACTTTCGGGGGTATCCCGTGTAACGGAATTCGTTTTTTATTCATGAGAATAAGAAGGACATCACATATCGGTTATTTAAAACATTGGAAGGGTGTTTTTTGAACAGAACATGAAGAGGATTCGCACGAAGTGTTGTGGGGAGTGGGATAGTGGGACGTACTCGAATGTTTGTGGTCGTATTGTTTTGTGTATTAGAAAAGTGGTGAAAATATGCAATCGTGTACACTGCTTAAGGTTACCAAATTGTTTCATAAGATGAATGCATTCCCGAGGAGAGAGTTAAAGAATGTTTGTGTTTTTTTTT